AGGAGAAGCAAAGATAGAGGAAGTGTTTGTGTTTGTTTGCTTTTTCCTAAGTAAGAAGCAACTTCTAAGAAGTTAAAGTTAGAAAACTGATTATGTTGCCATCACTTTGCACATACCAATATGTATTGAGTGGATAATTGAGAACTAGTTGGAAAAGGCAAAAATTATGGAAACAAGAATTTTTTTTATCTTTTGCATTTTTAAAAATTTTTTTAATTAACATATAATGTATTATTTGTTTCAGGGGTACAGGTCTGTGATTCATCAGTCTTACACAATACACAGCACTCACCCCAACACATACCTTCCCCAAAGTCCATCACTCAGCCACCCCATCCCTCCCACCCCTCTCCACTCCAGCAACACTCAGTTTGTTTCCTGAGATTAAGAGTCTCTTACGGTTTGTCTCCCTCTCTGGTTTCATCTTGTTTCATTTTTCCCTCCCTTCCTCTATGATCCTCTGTCTGGAAACAAGAATATTTTTGGAAGTCAGAGAAGGTGACTAGGTGATGAGTTTACTTTAAATGAAGAAAGAGAGAAGTGTGCCACTTATAAAACATATTAAAAGTCACCATATTTTTTCTATACAATGGGATGGGATTGCAGAGTTTTAATAAAGTATCATTTCGGTATTTTTTTTTTTTTTTAGATTTTATTTATTTTTTGGACAGAGAGACATAGCGAGAGAGGGAACACAAGCAGGGGAATGGGAGAGGGAGAAGCAAGCTTCCTGCTGAGCAGGGAGCCCAATGCGGGGCTCGATCCCAGGACTCTGGGATCATGACCTGAGCTGAAGGCAGACACTTAACGACTGAGCCACCCAGGCGCCCCTCACTTTGGTATTAAAGAATAATTAAGAATTTATTAATAATAAGGAATATTAGAGGCTTTAGTTTCTCTTTTCCAGGTATATTTCTCTCTCAACTTTACCATTTTAGGATGCTTGTGTTTGATATACAACATTCTCCTTAAGTATTTGCAATGAGTTCTACAATAAATACTATAATAAGTAATAAATAATACAATTACTAATTTTATAAGATGTAATAGTGTAATCAAAATAGGGACATCACGATTCTGACCCATAAGAACTTGGTAAAGAAAATCAACTAAGTGACTCTCATTAATACCTCAGGAATTTGGGGCACCCCAGTGACTTAGTCCGTTAAGCATCCTACTCTTGATTTCGGCTCAGGTCATGATCTCAGTGTTGTGAGATTGAGCCCCACATCGGGCTCCACACCAGGCATGGAGCTTGCTTAAGATTCTCTCTCTTCCTCTCCCTCTGTCTCTTCCCCCTCCGTCTCTTATTTAAAAAAAAAAAAAAAAAAAAAAAGACCTCAGGAAGTCATTAAGCTTGCAATTTTTAGACACCTATCAGAAGAAAGTGCTTTGCACTTCACTTCCAGTTATGAATTTTTAAGATTCTCTCTTTCATACAAATCTACACCATGCTTTGTCAACCTTAAATCATACTTCATCTTTCTGTAAAGAAGTCTTTTAAAGATTTAACTAAGTTGTGAGATCAAGCATATACACTTCTAGGAAAATAAAATAATCTGTTTTAGTATTTTGCAAATGGTACAAACAAGACAAAATTTTGTATGAAAGAATTAACACAGTTTTAAAAAGCACTGTGTCTCAAACAGTGTTGAAGGTAGTGTGGATTATGTACTATTGACAACTGTTTTTGGAAAATTCAAAACATCACTCCAGTATATAAGAATGCATGAATGGTGAAGTGTGTATTAAGAGTGTAAATGTATTAGTGCAAATGTATTCCTAGACTGCCATAACAAATTACCAAAAACTGAGTAGTTTAAAACAATAGGTATTTATTCTCTCACAGTTCTGGAGACTAAGAGTCCAAAATCAAGGTATAGCGGGGCCATGCTCCTTCTGAAAGTACTAGGGAAAGATCCTTTTTTGCTTCTCCCTACCCTCTGGTGGTTACCAGCAATCCTTGGAGTTCTTTGTAGGTGCATTATCCCTGCCTCCATCATTACCTGGCCTCGTTCACTGTGTCTTTTTTTTTTTTCTTATAAGGACATCAGTTATATTGGATTTAGAGCCCACTCAAATCTAATATGACCTCATTTTAATTACCACATCTATAAATACCCTATTTCCAAATAATGTCACATTCTGAGGTTCTGGGCAGACATGAACTCTGGAGGGACAACATCCAATCCAATATAGTGAATGAAAAGTATTCCATAAAAGTAGAAAATGGAAAAAAACAACATTTCTAAACCATATACTATTTTACATACTACATAATTTAATGTTTTTGAAAATTGATACATTAAATAATATAGACATAGGACTATTTGCCTATATTCCCTACAGTTTATATAACCAAAATGGCCAAAATCTTTATTTTGCATCTTTCTATAGCAAAAATGACCTTATAGTCAGGCATAAATGGTAGTATGGTGAATCAAATGGTTTCTTATTGATTATTTGCCCCCTCAGAAATGTTTATTTGACCTAGTAAGCCCTCCCCCCGCCTTTTTTTTGACACCACAGAAACAAGGTTGTTCTTAATCTTTAAGGAGATAATTATATCTGGCATGCTTTGCAATGGAAAAACAAAATAAATATCCTTTTTTCAAAAGGAGAGTTCAAATCAAGCTTAATACACTTCAATCTCCATAAATGGAGTTTTAGCAAAGTTTCTGTGTCTACCCCATTAAAAGACAAGAATGCGTCTATCATCCTAGATGGATACAGCTCAGAGATACAGCAATATATCCATTTCTTCTCACTCTTTCCCCTCCCTCTTTTCTTTTTTCTTTTTCTCTCTAAATCCTTAAAGGCCCAGTCCGATACTCACTTTTGCCAGGAAACCTAAATCATATGTTATTTACTTAGTCTTCTACATATATCGTCTATTGCTTCTCAAAAAGAAAAAAAAAAAAAAGAAAAGAAAAGAAAAGAAAAGAAAACTCTAACATAGAGTATAGTTATTTCTGAATCATCGCATCAATGAGATGTTAATAGTTCAAACAACTTTGCATAGCATTTGGAGTCGAGGACCACATTAATGCCTAATACTTTCAAACTGCAATCCATGCCTTCTGCAAAGCCTTCACTAATTTTTACTTTTTCTATGTATTTACAGCATTTATGATTGATATGATGGAACTGGAAAGTGTTTCAGCCTCGTTGTTTCAGTTAAGCTTGTCTTATCTCCTTAGTTTCCTCTGGGAAGCATCAGATTAATACATTTGGCAGCAAAGGACTTAAGAGTCTAAATTTGTAACATGGCCTTATTGCATTCTAGCTTGGGCAAACTACTCCATCTCTTTGCACTTCAATTTCCTCATCTGCAAAGTGAAAATAATAATACATGAAGTATTACTGGAGTGAGGATTTAATGAATTATTCCATGTCAGGTAAATGGAACAGTATTTGGCAGAGAGTAAGTGCTCAATAATTGTTAACCATTGTTCTGTACCTCCTGTAGACCCTCAAGCATTAAACAAGCAATAAGCATCATCTGCATACTTTCTCATTTTTAACAGTTCTTTAAAATACCTGATTTGGTTTAAAAGCTGCCTTAGTGTTGAGTCATAGTATAATTTAACTTGAAAATTAATTGAAAAATGTATATTCCAACTGTTACTTTAGTGAATTTGAGGACTCTCTGATTTCTAGCTTTTGAAGAGATGAAAATCCATATAAAATCTTTAAAAAAATAATTTGGCTTTTAGGCACATTCTTTCAGGTGTACCTGTTTTAGCTCTGCTACTTAAATTGTATTAACTTCAAAAATGCAGTAATGTGATAGATGCAATATCCTGGACTGGATTTCAAAAATGCCATTCATTAATACCAACAGAATTTGGAAGAGAAAATATTGATAAAAAATACCAATGTCTCTGTGCTGTTAATGCTAAATAAGTCGATATTTGACCATGTATGATATGTATAATATAAAGGTACAGAATATAATTACAGCTACGGAAACTTACATATGAGAAGAAATACATACCAATGAAGTACACTATTTGTACCTCATTCACTGAAGGCAATAAAAATTCCTACAGAAGGAAAACTCCCATTTAAACAAAAAGTGCATGAAAAATGAAAGCTGGGGGACTGAGGCTAGTGAAAAATATAGACAATAGTTTTACACCCTTTGAAATAAAATTCTAAGTGTAATACATGATATAACAAGACTACCAGAGCTCACATACTTTAAGTAAAATAGGTACAAGGCATTTCGCTTTTTTTTACAATACCTGCTCAATAGGAAGATTTTAGGGTCTGGTCTCCCTCTAATTCCAATGAAGTCTGTATAAAATGCATTTTCTTTGTTAAATGAAATCTTCTGAATTACAATGTATAATTGTGAGCCCTCACTTTATGCAACAGAGTAAGGAGAAAATTTGAATGACTTCATTCCTGTAGCATTTGCTTTGTCCAACTTAAGTTCATGACAAAAACCAGGGCCAATCAGACAGTGTTTCACATTCAGTTCAATCCATTCTCACTTAGACATAGTCAAGTATTTCCAGGAGACAGTTTATTCTAGAATTTTCCATTTCTCTTAGCCATAAACTTCTAGTAACTGTCAAATCTTACCAATTCTATCTCCTAAATAGTTTGGACTTTCGCCTTCCCTTGAAAATCATCTATATTGCATAGTTTATAAAATAACTTCTAAATTCTTTTGTTTCTAGTGTATGCCTCATCAAGTCCAACCTATGTACTGTTGTCAGAAGAATAAAACCCAAATCTGTTTGTAAAATTTTTTATGCATGTGTGAGGCACACACACGATGCCTGGCATATATAGAAAAATACCATTTCATTTTAAGGTAGAACAATGTTGTTTTCCTCTCCTTTAAAAATTCTCTCCCTAAATTGGCATATTATCTCCTTTTTATCTTCAAAATGAAAATCTTTTGCCTTGATGAATTAATTGGATGAACTTGGCACAAGAAACCTAGACTTAAAGTGGCTTAATAAGAAGACATTTTAAATTTCACATACCAGTTTAGAGACACGGTGGGCTCTGGCTCGGGTTCCAGTTCCACTTTTCAGGTTTTTGACTCTGCCTTGTATCAGCTAATGATTCTCAATCTGGCTCCTTTCACGGTTGCAAGAGACTTCCAGCAGTAACTGTGGAACATAATTCCCACCATTCATCTAGTTGGAGAAAAACTATTTTTCTTTTCCATGGAGCTAGAGTAAGTTTCTCACTGATTTTGACTTGTTTACATCTACTTACTCCTGAGCCAATTATTAGAGAAGGAATGAAATTAATACAATAGGCTTACTGATATGTGGGGAATAATTATCTGGAATATAAGGAATACTAAGAGTCAACACATGTTCCCTTCACGTAACATATCTAATTTTTGCATGTTATAGCCCCAGCTTCATATACACATACTCTAAATACTAATCATGACAAACTATCTCGTTTCCTAAATGTGTCATGCTCTTTCTCCCCATTAGCCGTATTTTCACCTTTCCAAGAATGCCCTTCACCATGTCTCTATTTGACTCATCTTAAGTATTCCTTAAACTTGTCTTAATAAATGTTCCTGATTCTACCAGGCTGAATTAGGAACACTTTCTTATGACCTTGCTTACTTCAAGCACAGTACCTCTCAACCTCCTGAACACTGGATTACTTGGTAGAGCATTTCAAAATACTAATGACCTGAAACCACTCCCAAATATCCGGATTCAGTTGGTCTGGAATGAAGTCTGGAAAAGGGAACTTTTTAAAATTTCTCAGGTGATTCCAATGTGAAGTCTGAGCTGAGAATCCTCTAGCATATCACTTGCCACATCTATTACATGTCTTTCTCTTCTACTAAGTTGTGAGTTTTTGAAGATGAGACTATGTTTTTCACCTCTGAATGCTAAGCACCTGAAAAGAGTGTCTGATACAGTCAGTACTCAGAATTAGTTGACGAAAAAGGCTGTTTCAAAGAATGGTTATTTCAATTCAATAGCTATTAATTGCCTACTGTGTGCTGAACTCTATAGGAGGTGTTGCTATACAAAGGTAAATAATACAGTGTCAGCCTTTACAGGAATTTTTATCCAATGCAGTGCTCAAAAGTGAGCATACTGATAGTAGTATCAGGCTACTACATCTTAAATTACTCTTCCAGAACTTCTGACATTCTCAATGAATAGGGCAAGTCATGTCTTCTTTAAATAATACTCCTTTACCGTAAGTAACTGAATGTGTATTTTTTTAATAGGGTCTCACGGTATATATTTATGAATATGTAAAGCCTAACTGTAAATAGTTCTTTTCTTTATACAAATATTTAAAATATAAAAGAGTTACTATTTTATCTGAGCTCTAATATAAAAATGCTAAAAGAATCCAGCAGTAAGTTTTACTTTGGTTCAGTATTCAAGGAAAGGCAGGCGTTCACCAAATAGAATGAGAAAATTAAAAGCAGTCTAACTGTAGAAAGTCCCTTTGAGCCACAAGTTTAAATTTTTTAATGGTTTTACAATCTTCTCAAGCTTTCAATGGAAAAAAGTGGCTTGACATTGAACACATACCAAGTCAGTAGCATAACTATTTTATAATGTCTGACTGGTCACTGAAAAAAACTGTTTAAAATTCAATCCATGTAATGGAAATGCTACTTAGAAAAAGACCATTCATACTACAGTGCTGCAGGAAAATTGTGGTTATAACAGTTCCCATTTCATTCAGCAGCGGGATTTTTAAAAGAATTACAAATGGAATCATTCCTAGAATATTGCATGTTGAGTATTATTAATATAAATTTTACCATCATAAAATTCACCATTAATAATAAGAAAATGTCATTATTTTTTCATCTTACAGGTTAAAAAAACTTTATATGTTAAATGAAGATTCTCAGGTTAATTTATGGAAACCCTTTGGGAATATCCATTCATAATTCCTCTAGGACATTCACATATTAATTTAACTGAAATGTATTGAATCCTTGCTATTATTGTTTCTCATGATGGAAGGGGTTTGCCTAGCCATCCGTCCAAGTTTCATTTATATTAGTCATGGATTTTGAACTCTGTTTGGGAAGTCTATGAATGGATATTAATGATTAGAGGTTGCAGTATTAGAGATTCTGAAATAGAAGAAGTTTATATGCTGAATAGCTGTCTCTACCCTGCAAAAAAACAAATCAAAACAAAAACAAAAAAAAGGAAAAGAATCAAAAAAATCAACTGGTGAATTTTTAAAATTCAAAACCTGTTATGGAAAATCGTTAAGAAAAGATAAATGGACTTCAACCACATTTAGAAATCAGATACATCTCCTGTATCTCAGTATTAGACAGTTTTGAGGCCTGTAAACTTCTAACTTTTAAATTTGTGCTTATTTCAGCTAAATGTCAACCGCCTAATTTTGAAAAATCCAAACTCACTGATTTTCTTTTATGCCTTTTTTCCTTGTTGATTAACAGTTTCCAAAATGAAAAGGAAGGGACAGCGAAAAGAAAGCATTACAAATCAAACAGAATTTGCCCTATCCTGGTTATCAGCTTTGAAAAATGATTTAGTAGGTTCACCTGGTTTCTTAAATAAAACACAGTACTAAGGTTTTGTTTTGTTCTGATTTTTAAATAGACTTTATTTTTTAGGTTCGTAGAAAACTGAGCAACAAGTATAGAGTTCCCATTAAATCCCTGCCTCCATACACACAGCCTTCCCCACTAACAACGTCCCCCACCAGGTTGGTACAATGAGGAACCTACATTAACACGTCATCACCCAAAGTCCATAGCTTACCTTAAGGCTCTCTCTTGGTGTTGCATATTCTGTGAGTTTTGACAAATGTACAATGGCATGTATCCACCATTACGATATCATACAGAACAGTTTCACTGCCCTCAAAATCATCTGTGCTCTGCCTGTTCATTCCTCCTTCTCCACAACCCCTGGCAACCACTGATGATTTTACAGTCTCCATAGTTTCGCCTTTTCTAGAATATTATACAGGTGGAATTATTCCATATGCAAACTTTTCAGATTGAATTTGACTTAGTAATACATAAAGTTCCTCCATGTCTTTTCATGGCTTGATAGCTCATTTATTTTTAGCACTGAATAAAATAATATTCCATTGTCTGGATGTATCACAGTTTGTTCATTTTCTGAAGGACATCTTGGTTGCCAAGTTTTGGCAGTTACAAATAAAAATGCTATAAACATCTGTGTGCAGGTTTCTGTGTGGACATAAATTTTCCTCTTAGTAAATACCAACGAGTGTGATTGCTGGATCACACAGTAAGACTATGTTTAGTTTTGAAAGAAGCTGCCAAACTGTCTTCCCAAGTGGCTATACCATTTTGTGATGAGAGTTTCTGTTGTTTCATATTCTTGCCAGCATTTGGTACTTTGGCCATTCCAGTAACTGTGCAGTGGGATCTCATTGTTGGTTTTCTAATTCCCTAATGATTTATGATGCAGAGTTTCTTTTCATCTTTTTCTATGCCTATTTGCCATCTTCTTTGGTCAGGTGTTTGTTTAGGTCTCTGGCTCATTAATTAGTTTATTTTCTTATTGTTGAGTTTTAAGATTCTTTGTATATTTTGGACAATAGTGCTTTACCTGATTTGTCTTTTTACAAATGTTTTCTCCCTGTCTGTGGCTTGCCTTCTCATTCTCTTAACATTCTTGTTCAAAGAGCAGAAGTTTTTTTTTCATTTCAGTGAGGTCCAGCATATCAGAACTTCTTTTCCTGGACTGTGCCCTTGGTGTTGTAGCTAAAAAGCCATCCCCGGACCCAAGCTCATCATCCAATTCTGCATTTTAGATTTAGTACTGTGATCCATTTTGAGTTAATTTTTGTGAGGAATGTAAGGTCTATATCTAGATTCATTTTTTTGTATATGGAGGTTCAGTTATATTAAGGTTTTAATGTTCCTTTTGTGACCTGTGTCTTTTGTGATAAACACTTCTAAAGTTTCATTACATTTATTTTTAAAATGCACAGCAAAGTTAACATTAGCAACAGCTATCAAGGCCAAATAATCAAGAATGTTCATGAAAAGAATACCCTTTATAAAGACATCAGACAAATATACAAGAGAACACTTTTATAGGAACCAGAAGAAACATTTCCTTATTACATTTTAAATTATATCTTACTGGAAAAATAGTGACTATTAACTCGAGTAGTATTAGTAATTATTAATTAGACAAATTCACACCTACACCTGAACAAACAAAATGCTGTCTGTAAACAGGATGGCATAAAAGCCCAAGCCACTGGTTTACAGAAATGCTGAGAGAAAGGAAAGCATGGAAAAGAAATACCTACTATGCTCATTCAGCCTCTAATTTTAATAGTTTATATATCAATCTCTATATACTAACTCTAAGCATTACTGCTAAAAAAGTTCTAAGGCTAGGGGCTTCTCTTAGAAGGTAAACATTTATCCTTTAAATGTGAAAAATGCACATTTATCATAAAAAGATGTGTGGTGTGAAGGATTAAGAGTCATTGTCTGATACTGTAATACATTAAATGTCTTTTCCTCAGTAACCAAGTAACATCCTTTTCACTGCGGGTTCTTAGGACGAAAAGTCAAAAGCTCTGATGAGAGTGTGTGTGCGTATGCGTGTGTGTGGGCACCTAGGTGCATACATGCCTATGTGCATACACATGATCTTTTTCCATGTAAGTGATGAGGAGGTAAAGAATTTTTTTTCCAGGACTTTGAGAACTGCATATTTATTTATCTTCCGAAATCAAGCACAAGGTAGTATTTAAAATGATGAAATACACCCAGAAATTAGAGGAACAAATATCACTGACAAAAAACTTATGTGATATAGAAAAGAGAGTTAAATATGTGTGTGGAGAAGTTACACTGATTACAGTTTTGGTGGATAGAGCTCCATGCGCACACATTATTTCAATAACTTTTCCTTTTGGGGGGCATAAATGAACATTTTTTTCTATCCTAGGTATATTATTAAAATAAGCAGATTTCCCCTTTCTCTTTCCCTTCAACCCCTGATCCATTTTCCAGTCCCCCAGTGATTCCATGTTAGCATGCTCTGTTTTTGACTAGACAAATAGTACACAGATTTATTCCTACAGAAACAATCTCTGGTAAAATCGTAGAGTGTCTGCTTGAATAATACCC